CTTAATGTGTTTCTGGCAAATAGTTAATCAGAGGTAACAGCATATACTTGACTAAAGGATTGATATTGGATTATATAGTTTATATACACCTGGGAGCGTGCCATACACTCACTCTTGTAGTCAACATCCCTCCTTCTAGTGCTGGTCTAGTTTTAAGAATTGCAGAAGTTTGATGTGCAAGACCAATTAAGTAGTCCATATATCCCTGAATCTCTGGGTTTCCACATTGTATTACCTGGTTTCCTACCTCAAAATCTCTAACACATTGAATTTACAGGATAAACTTACAGAATCCCAAGGACAGGCCTGTAAAGATGGTCTTTTTTACCTCTCTCTGTCCATTTTGTAGAACACCCCTTTAAATGGGAGCACTGCATTGTAATGATATCTAGCCTCATATAGACAACACTGAGCTGGAAGGACTGTTATGTGGATACTGAACCAGAAAAGTAGGCTCTTCCAATTTTGTGAGAAAACGTCATGGCATCTTCCTGCAGAGATGGTGTTTTCAGCATGACGACGCAGCCATGTGTAGGGCAGACAGCTGACCCAATCTCATCAGAGTGGCTGCATAGCCACAGCTGCATGACAAGAACCAGTGCCACACATCACACCAGCCAGTGTTAGGAGAGAGATCCCAACAATCTCTCTGCAACCTACATGTATACACACTAAGACATGACAATAAGCCCTTCTCTTTCAACATATGCAATTATGGAGTGGGTTTTGCAGTTAAGTTCAGTAATACCCAAGGTCAGTATCTCAGTTTGTCTTCCTTCTCGCTATACAGGTGAGTTTCAATAGCTCCCCTTTTCCAAGTCACCAAAATAAGTCAGAAATTGTCCATTTCTCCAGAGTAAATTTATCAGAAAGCGAGTTATTCTTCTATTATAGTTTAGTGCAGAAGCATGACTGTAAATCAAGCCCCCCATGAAACACATAACTCCTCAAAAATGACAGATTCCAACTTAAAGGTTTCATGTAAGATATTTAACGTTGTTATTTGCATGCCACTGCTCTCAGCCAAGACCAGCACCAGTACCCACATGCCTTTATAGATTACAAAAATATTTCCATGTCAGACTGTAAAGAAAAGCTGAAACAGCAGAAGACAAATACTAAACAAGATCTAAAGAAGCTTCTGTCCCCAAACTCAGCTTAAGTCAAGTTACAAATACAATGACAGACAGAATGTGCTGTAGTCTACACATAACAATGCCTGTTCTATTAGTTCTATGATTTATAGATTTATTTCTTTATGCCAGAGAGTTCTCAGAAAGATTTACTCTAAAAGTTATGGCAAACTTCAGTACAGAAAAAGGACTGCATTGCATACTCAGTAAGCAATAGGGCAGAATTATTTGGAGACAGACATGGAAAGCCAAAGCACCACAAAGTTAGTAATGAGAGAGAGCCAGAACCCCAGATTTCTATTATCAGCTTTAAAAAGCTGAAATACTTCCTTGTTTAATCCTATGTAAAAAAAGATAAAGAAGTGACTAGCACCATTTCATCCAGCCTAGAGGAAACACATTTTAAATCCACACACAGTAATAAAAACTGGAAAATTTCCAATTCCCCTGCACATTTGTTATGAAAAACAACGTGCCAGCCAGCTTTCATAGTAAGCATAGACAAATTGACAAAGTTCCCACTTGGTCCTTATCTTTAATGCCTTTCTTCTAATTTTCAACATTAAGAAACTGAGAATGTGCCAAATCAGTAGCTTCTAGAATTTCAATGCTCTCAAGCCTTTATTTGCTCAAAGGCTGATCCATACTAGCTTAGAGAGTGAATGGTCATAGTATCAACAGGATCAGCTACATTTCTCAGTATTCACGTTTATCAAGAACTGCTTAGTCTGGTTCACACACCAATTTCGCTGTGGTGCCCTCTAGTTATCAGACAATTACAGCAGTCACACTAGTACTACTAATAGCATATTTTTGTTGCTATAATCTTGATTATGTATACTGGGGAGTGAGGAAATCAACAGAAGCAACCAAGCATTGCAGATTTGAGAATTCAATTAATGTTATCTCATAGAGGTACAAACTATGCAGACATAAAACACTAATGAAAAGGAATGGCAGAATTTGGAAATGGCTTTACAAGGTAACTGGGAACAGAGCAGGGACTTCTGAAATTCAAACTTCCAATAGGAACTACATTTCTTGTATTTATTTTTTTTTCCAGAAACTTTTTAACATCTTAGCATATTATATTCTTTTCTGGTATTAGCTCTGGAGAAAGAAAGCAGAAAAGGTTTCAGATGTTCTCTTCACAGTCAGTATAGTAGTTAAACCATAGAATTCCCAATACCCATTAGCATTTTGGGGAGATTGAGATTGATAGCTCTTCCCTTTTGCATGCCTTTCCATGAACTTCGAGATTCTAGCTAGCTAGTGCTGTGTGACCAGTTCCACTTCATGCTCTATAAAGTTACACTACCATCTTCTGTAAGAGGAAAAAAAGTAATTTAGTGAATTATTTACTTTCATTTTATAATTCCTCCTCTAATCTACCCAATATAAAAATACATCATGCGAAAAGTATTCATGGCAGCTTTAAAAAAGGACACCGTCCAGTAGAGAATTTATGAGAATAAAATATTCACTGGCAGTCATTAAGAGTGAGACAATTAAACATTACTTTGAGGAGTGGGACAAGAAAAGACAATTTAAACTTACCACCTGAACAAAGGCACCACACTTTGACTGAGCAAAAGTATCCAACGACATTTATCCGAACAAATTTAGTCAGAGCACTTGAGAAAACTTCACAATGTACCAAGGTTATGTGGATCATTCCACCACAAGCTTGTTGTATAATATTAATTCCCTGATATTAAGTGTACCAACCTGTTGTTCATGTTTAAAAATAAAATATCATTAGGTTGTTCAAATTTTAGTAATAATTTAAGGAAAAAGATTAAGAACTTTGCCTTCTGGCTGTGTGTAAAAATTGCCATTGGTCAATCATTTACTCCTCCTTTGTTTGTAGGGGGCCTGAATATAAGGTCTTAGCCAACACCAAAACCTTTTCCATGCATCATAAGCAATTGTTAAATGCTAGATAAGGTCTTGCTCGGGGCTTTTACTTTACAGAGACTTTTGACTGGATTGAATAATTTACATTGTTACTGCATACTTTTAATAGTATACATTCCTGATCTTGCTGTGACTAACACCAGTCCTCACTGACAGTCACATTTTCATGAAAAAAAAAACAAAACAACAGAGAACCCATAAAGAATGTAAATACATTTCAAGAATCAAACAATGAAAAAGCAATCATAGACACATGACACAGTAATGCAGTGCAACATAGCACATTATGAGGCTAAGAAAAATCATGTTTATTCAGTTCTATAACACACAAAACCCCACAATACAAAGGAAAAAAGAAAACTTCAGAAAACTGTAAGTATTCCACATAGATCTGAACAATATTTTCACCACTGTATTTGCTGCCTCCACAAAGTGATAGCTGAGCCACAGATAGTACAGATAGCCACGTCTTGCATTCATACCACGTATGCACCAGACCATTTGGCTTCTGAAATCAAAAACTCACTAAAATTCCATTGATTGCAAACATCATGGCCTTTTTAACAAACAAGATGCTGGGTTACAAAATAAGAAGCTAACAAAAGCAAAAGTGATATTGTTGGTTGTTACACAGGTTTAAACGCACTTAAGAATATATGAAGTACACCTAAACCTGGCTAAAATATTTCCTTGTAATTCAGCACAGTATGTCTGCTCCTGCAGATGAGCATTTGGAACTGTGGATATTTATTTAACATCAAATCCCACAGTAATTTTACAATGCCTGAAAAAAGAGCAAGCTGTTTTATCCCCTAATTAGAAGTCCTAAGCATCCTTGGATATTAAATATAAACATGTATATAATCATGAAGGAGAGAACAATTACTGCTCTAACCTCTGACTAATTTAGTGAAGAATTGTAGGAAGACAATGTTTAATGATTAAAAGTATTAGCAAGTATAAAAAAACGCATGTCAAAGAAACTGTAGATTAGTGTACACAAACAATATAGAGGATAATTTGGTGGGGAAAGGGAGTAGCAGGACAGACATAACCGAAGGCAAATCAAAGACTAGTAGACAAGTAAAATCTGCTATTTTCCACCACTTTCCCTAAGGACAATTACACATTTGTAACAAATCAAACCATTTATTCACGATACTGTAATACCTGACAACACAAACTGTACTCTCCCACTATTTTAGTCAACATTATCAAAGATTACTATGAAGCAGTACAAAGTTCCTGTTACAAGCTTTAGTGTTTTCTACATTGCAAATAAACAGTGTGCCTAAATCCTAGTGAACAACAGCAAGTGAAATTAGAGGATCTCAATAGAAGGCTCTCATTAACACAGCTGAAATAGTCTCAACACCCTGTTCCCTTCATGAAAACACCAAACAAGGTGCTAAAAACTTGCATGGTCAGTGGCAGTTTTCACACGCCTTGTCCTGAAGCATGAGCATTTGTCCAGATCTGTCACTGAACATCATAGTATTTTTTTTCTCCTGTACAGATTAGTTTTGTTGGGTTTTTTTTTATAAAAAGTACAACCTATTGACTCTGTCATATCTCTCAGAGCACAAGTCTCAGGAGACCACAACCATGTACAGTACTGCAGGGCACTAGTAACAGCATTGCATAAGCATAGCAGCAGCATTGGGAGATTAAGACATTTGCTATATGTAAAAGATTCCACGAGTACAACTGTTGAAGTGAACAGGAGTTTTTCCATTTCCCAGCCCCCATGACACCCTGTCCATGGGCATCTGCTAATACTCAAAACCAAGACAAAAAACTGTGTCCCTTTTTCCTTCTCTCATTAAATAACACAAAATTAATGCAAAGTTATAACATAAAAATTTACTTTATTTATTTACTTTATTTCAAAACTACATCTCCCAATACTGCTGTCTACTAACCTCTTAGGAAATGAGAAGTAAAGCTTACCAAACTTTTTCTTCCTCCAGTCCTCCTCTGGCACATTGGCTTATTACAGAAGGGCTACTTATGGTAAGTGTTGAGCTTTCAGAATTCATTTTTTTTCTACAAAGGAACAACATGAAAAAACATGAAAAATGCAATATGAGTGAAGAATGTGTTTACTAATTCATTAGAAAACCTAAATTTTAAGACAAGAACTCTTAAGACCAAATACAGTATGTTTTATTCACTTAAGTAAACGTCCTAAATCAATGGGATTAATTGGATGAATACACTGAGAAGGATTTGGCAGTTTTGTGGACTTGCTACTTATGCCAAACTCAACACTGATTGTCTTTTGTTTACTTCTCTGAATCCATGCCAAAAGAGTTGATGTCAGCAAGCCTGGATCCAGGGCTATGCACAGTGTCAGTTATGTTAATTCAAAGCAGCAGTCAGAGCTAGTGTTGCCATGGAATGATCCACACAACACTGGGAAGAAAATGGCAATTTCTGATATGTAAAGATTTACAGAAGCTTTTTAGCATATTTTAATAAGATCCACATTTTAATAACTTAAGATCATACTTTGCTGATTTGCAGAAAATAACAATTCAGTCATGGCTGAAGTCACTCCCAAAACCAGCACAGACACACTCAAATGCTGGCAGTAGCAATGTCCAAGTTACAATGCATCCAAAAGGTCTGTATGGCCAAAGGTGCTTCAAGTAAACAACTTGTACAGTAAGAACAAATTATGTCTCTAGATAAGGCAAGTTAATTTCCACATGAGCACTTTTTGGTAACAGGATCCACAAAGTTAACATGGAGCTTAGTCCCCTCACCCTACCTTCTTTTAAAAGAAAGATAGGAAAAGTCATCTTACTGCTCTTGATTTGACACCTGGTTTCCATTATCATCAGAACAAAGATCTAATTGATTAAAGGAGAACATGTTCAACTGTACGTCAGTTAATATCTACTGGAACATAACCAGGAAATGGGCTATGCTTGTCAAGATAAGGTAGAACGGACCATTAAAAAGCTAGTTTAACCAGTGTGAAACCTGGGTCAAAATCTGATTTGACAGTCATGGACAGCATGAAAAATTGAGCATAGTGCAAGTGTCCCATCAGCCATGGGCAGATGAGGCCAATCTTGACAAAACCAGTACTTTGAAGAAAAAGCTGATCTTGGTTTCAAAATTATGGCCATGCAGGAGTAGACAAACAGCTCTAGCAAGCATGTTGATCAGACCGAAGTCCCAAAAGTCAGCAACGAAATTTGGTCCTTACTAAAACTGAGGTCATCTTCTTACCTGCCCTTCACTGTGATCAGAGCATGTGTCACTGCCATGTCAGAGAAAACAGAATGGATTTACAAGTACAGGCCCTTAATTTTGTATTATTTTTTTTAACATCCCTCATAACAGAAAGGGATAACAATTCCACACAGCCTGTTTCTAAGCAAATTTGTTTCCTGAGATCTTGTTTTAAAGATCCAGAAGTCTATTCTGAAAGGGAGAACAACAAATGCCTCACCTCTGTGAGGGCAGGAACAGAGACTGAGCCATGTGGCCTCTTTTTGGATCAGTGCCTGACCTCAAATTTACTCCTGATTCTGAAGATGTGTCACTTTGAAAAAATTAAAAATAAAATAAAACAAATACAGCAACAACAACAAACACACAAAATCTCACAGCAATTTTATTAGTGGCTGAGCAGCAGCAAGTGTTGAAAGCTACATTATTACTTGCCTCTCTAGTCTATAATAGTGCACGAAGAGGGGAGCTGTTGTTAAACACACTTGGAAGCAGCAGCGCAAGGATCCCTACTTAACCATCTATTGTAAAGCTCCGATCTTTCAGGAAGCAATTTCCTGACAGGACAAATTAAAACTTCTCTTGTGGTAATGAATTCCTACTCCACATTGGGAAAGCCCAGATGCTTCAATGATCATGCAAGTTATGCCAACAGGAGTTTCACCTCCTCTTACAGTCACTCGTACAGGTAAGATCAAAGGTTCAAGGGAAGGTTAAAAGCAGTCCATTAATTCTCAGTTGGAAGCTGAAAGATTCAAATTACAAAAACACAAGGTTGCCACTGCAGATGATAAACCCAAAAGACAACACAGCAAACATCTGCCGTTCACTTGTGAACCACTATTATAGTAGTACCAGTGTTCGCACAATTACAACAACAAAAAAAAACATGTTTTCAGCACTTCCTTTCCTACCCTTGAAAGCATCTAAGCAAGCACTCCATGTATCTTTTCATCGAGACTTTCACACTGAAACAAGAGTAAAAGCAGAGGACAGAAATTAACGTTAATGTGTAACAAACTTTTCTATGAACAATTGGTGATAAAGGTTGACACATATCTAACAGAAAATAAATTAGACATAGCATACGCCCAATTTATGTTCTCATATGTTCCACAAAGGAAACCACATAAAATACAGAGAGGAATATATCTTGTCAAACTTCAACTCCCTCACATTTCCAGTTCAATATCTGAGAATGACAGTAATATATCGTACTCCTTCTGCCTGACAACCTCAGAATCTTACAAAAACCTGCTTATGGTGTTTTCTGTAACACAAAAGGAGGCATCAAGAGACCAGCATATATTCATTCTGACAGCAAGATCTTGTCCACCACACTTTCAGAAAGGTATCTATATGCTGGATAAGACAGCAGGCTTTTTGGATACCGAGAGTATCCAAATGTTCTTTCAGGATACACAGTCATGCTCTGCAGCCTCATCTGCTCAGTTTACAATAACACAAGAGATCTGCCAAGTCACTCACTAAACAAATGCACTCTTCACTTACATGTGTGGAAAAGAGAGGCACAACAGGCAGCTGATACAACAGTGGACAAGCATCCTTCCTCAGCTACTACTGAAAAAAGACAGATGGGAAATACCACCATGCCTGCCTGACTGTCCCTCTCCTGTCCTCTGCACTGCAGCAGCCAAGAGCATACTTCTGCAAGTCAGGAGCAGGGAGCCACAGTATCACAGTATGCTAGAGATTGGAAGGGACCTCGAAAGATCATCTAGTCCAATCCCCCTGCCGGAGCAGGAACACCTAGATAGTGTTGCACAGGAATGTGTCCAGGCGGGTTTCGAATGTCTCCAGGTAAGGAGACTCCACAACCTCCCTGGGCAGCCTGTCCCAAGCATCCCTCAAATTTCCCAGACCAATGCTCCAGCAATACCCATCACAGAATCCCCGTCAGCTGTAGGATCATGTCCTGTAGCATATTGAATTATTTTTGCTACATTAGCCAGTCTTTCAAATCATACTCCTCCTTATTGTCTGTCAAGGTGGAAGAGACTGTTAAAGCTTTGCAACCAAGTGTCCATTCAGCACTGCCATCCAGCAGCGCTTCTCATTCATACTGCAGAGGCTGCCCAGCAATGAGTCAGACTAACTTCTGGAACATCATCAGGGATACTTTTGTCATCTTATTCTTGACAACAGGTCTACACAGGTCCTAATTCACTTTACCAGAAGCAACAGGTAATTAAACAGCTGAGCCCCACATCACTGACAAGTTTTATGGCCTTGTCAAAATACTGTGAGTTTTTTCATTTCTACATGACACGTGGAAAATTGGTCTCCAGCTACACTTTCCAAAGCCACGGATACCAAATACTACCACTGCACTTGAAATTACTTTCAAGTAATTTCAATGAAAACTTCTACGCCTATAGATTCTAGCCTGACTCACTGTTGGCCCACAGACTGCTCTTAGACTCCTTCTTCAGAATAAATAACTATTCTTAAAATAAATACTTCTCTATTTTAAGATGCAGAAGGGGATACCTTTTTTCAAGCATTAAGAATATTTTGTGGAAGAATTTCTAGTGAATACGAACTGCTTCAGGAGATCCAAAATAAAACTGAATTGTTCTGTTGTGGGTAGAAGTGTTATTGAAAGACTACTGATCTCCAAAAAATAATGTTTATATTCAAGGTGAACCACACAAAATTAAAGCTAAAACTGGCAAAGTAAGATTTTGTTTCTAATATACTGGTTTTGAGTTTATTCAACCAGAATATTAACACTATTCCCCGGTATCCACAGAAATCTGCCACCAGCAATATTAACATCTTAGAAAATTACATTAAATTCAAGAAGCAAAGGAAGAACTTTCAGAAAAAAAATGCTATTCACAGGTGCCTTTTTCTGCATTACCATCCAGTTCTTGTTTGGACTTGAACTTTATGGCATAGGCACTATACCTGATGAAACTTGAAGGAGGGAAATAAATCTCTCAGCTACCCTCTTAATAACTTGAAGGCAGATGCTAAGGCAAGTCAATGAATATTTATTTAAGAGACTCTGCTTCAGATGTATTCTGTCCCTCATCCTCTGCTTGCACACTCAACCTTGACTGTTCCAGATAAGGAGCATGCACTTTCATTAGGTGGTGTCCTAGAGATCGTGCTGTGCTGTAATAGGAGGAAGTGGGCAAAAGGCAATTCCAGAACAAAAACATAGGAAAACAATGTCAAAGACTTTATTTATAGCAGCTACGTTTAACGCTATTGTCACTATCTTATTGAGGGCACAGCCTTGAAGAAACATCCTTGCTGGTTCCGCAGACATCTGAAATTTAGTCTACTTAGTCTTCTATGAGCAAGCACAGATTGTTTAATACTAGAGTACCCAGCAGGAAGCACATACCTCAAAGTTATAAAGAAATTCATTTTTATGCTTTCATTAAAATTAACTTGGATTATCTGATGCATTATCAGTTCAGCTGCCTTAGAGTTGATTATTACACATTATACAGGCAGAGAAAACCCCAGCAATGGTAAGCACAAGCTCAGGAACTGAAAACTGTTATATTTAAGTGTATTTTATCCATTTTGATTTGGTTCCAGAAGTGCTGCAATTGCTCTTAAATGGACAAAAATCAAGGGGGGAAAAAGGATCTACTATAACACAGTACGCAAGCCTCTGAACACTCGTACAGACCAGCATTACAGGATCATTTGAACAGAAAAAAATTAGGCGACTTAAGAAAAGTGTTGAAGCCATGACACTCCATGGGCTCAAACCAGGATGTGATTTATATCCAGGAGATATGGGGAAGTATTAGCCCATCTTT